AGCTTCCACGGTGTGAGGGCGTGACTCTGCGTTTTGTGACAATAAAAGACAGGGCTTTCTCTCGGGTGATATAGCTTCCGCGGTGTGAGGGCGTCACTCTACGCCCAACAAGCTTATCTCATAAAGTATGAAAATTTATGAGTTAATACCTTATTGTTTTCATATCTGAGTTCATTCAGACTTGTCAAGGCCCTTTCTTGGTTGATGGCTATCTTTTAAAGTCTGCTTATTACTGCTTCTCGCAAGCATTACTAAGTTGATGTTGTTATTGCATGGTAGGATGAACTTTCAGCATTAAATTGTTATTTTCTGGTGGTGGGATTTTGCTTTGACTGATTTGGCTTTTCTTTAATCCAGGTACACTATAAATTTGGTGGTATTTTTTTATTGACAAGCAATTACTGGGTTTGTATTTCTCAATTTCAAGTTTTTCTTGTAAACTCATTTCTACATCTCTAAAATTCACATTATACGTTTGGCTATTTGTATGTTAGTGAATCTTTTTAGAATATATTAATCAAGTCAGTAATTCTACTATCGTTTTTAATGGTTGAATCATACAACATATTCCAAACTAGACCATATGTTGTTCATGTTTTTTTTTCCTGAAGCAAGCAACATATAAGTATACAATCCTTTAAGTGAATGATAACTGAATCATTGTTTAACATATTTTCATAGTTGACCTGTACAACCATCTTCAGAAACTAAATCAAGTTCTACTTTTATTTATCGCCCTGAAGCAAGGTATAGATAAGGTCGATATGCTTATCGTGAAGTTTAAGACATCTCTATAGATGAGTTGATAGGACTCTTTTTACCACCTGATCATGTTCAAGTTTGAGGATTATAAAAATTAGCTGATGAATATAAAAGACAATGGATAAACAATTATCTTAAAGAATATCAAATAATTGTTAGCAGATCATCTATGAGGCTCTGCGTTGTAGTTCTAAAAAAAAGAGCAAATTCAATAAAAAAAGGCTGTTGACCAGTAAACCTGAGAAGACGAAGTCAAGATTCAAGTCAGTTCACAATATGAGCTTGGCATACAGCCCCCCACTTACATTCAGTTCTTTTTTTGAATATACTCAGGTTCATCACATAATTTACAATTTGAAATGTTAGTGTTCAAATCTAAATAATCTAAAGTACAATACTCACTGTCCAAAATATTAGATTTTAATTCTACTTTATGTCCTTGACTTCCAATATTGAATAGTTACAGATTTTAATTATCCATCTAATTGGAAATTTTGTGCTTCATTTCTCTTCTGGAGTTTTAGCCTGATCTATGACATCTTCAAGCATTGATGATTGTAAGTGTTAGATTTTATTTAATTATTATCTTTTATTTCAGATCCTAATCTACAGTAAGCCTAAGATTGCTTCACTATACTTTGGAGGAGAACATGACAATTGAGTTTTTATGTGGTTTCTGCTAAGGAGCTGATATGCTGTTCTTCATCTTTTTATTCATACATGTCACTTGGTTATGCTTTATGTTACTAGTAGGTTCAAACTTGTCAACATACTAAATGAAATGAAAGTATTTGTGATTGCAGACTAAACCGGATGGTTAACATAGTGAAATTGAAGATGCATGAACTGCAACATATATACTTCATCACACGGCGACTCGACCCGGGCACCAATCTATATCGGTTTGCACGGAGATAGATCTTTGAGTAATAAATCTGTCATTTTTTTTGGGCAGTACATAAGAATACGATAGATCAGTTTGTATTCTCATGTCTTTACCTGGAGTTTGATTCTGGGATTATGACAAGAATTATTATTCAAGAAAACCAGATTAAGGGATCTAATCTGAATAGAAAATAGATGTACAAGTCACTGAAAAGATGGAGACTAGCTGAACTTAGTTCAAAGGGAAAAGCTTTAGGGAACTGATGAGGACAATAATGATAAATTTCCTTATTTGTTTATTTGACTTTTTATTTATTTTAGTTTTGAATAAGGAAGATTTGGCAAGTTTGACCAGATCTTAATTTAGTTTTAATTGCGAGAGATTTGAGGGATTTTTCTATTTTGGTAAGGTTTTATTGAGAGATTTGACTATATTTTTTTTGTTTCCATTTTTGTTGGACGTTGTGTGCACGTAGTTTTCTTTATAAATAAGGTTGTATGAGGCCATTGAGAAAAAAAAATAAAGATTTGAATCAAAAAAATTTAGTTAGCTAATTGTTGGTGTGAAGCCTCACGGGTGTGAAACCCTAGGGCCGACCCCTGCTGCTCTCCTCTTTTCTCAACAGCGCGACCTCTGCTCTCTTCCTCCTCCTCCACAGCCGCCGATTCCCCCTACTCTTCTCCTCCTGCCAACTACGCTCCGACTCCCTCCGCCTGCCTTGTCCCGACGCCCGCTCGACTGCCTCATCCCGACTCCCGCCCGATTTCCTCGTCCTAACGTCGCCGGCCTGCCTTGTCCCGACGCCATGCTTGGCTGCCTCGTCCTGACGCTCGCCCGCGTTCCGTAGTCCCTCTCATCGGTTCCCATCTCGACGCTGTCGCCTGCGTCATTGCCCAGTTCGACGCCACCGCTCTCGTCGCCCTCCTGCTCGACGTCGTCGCCTGCGTCATTGCCCAGTCGATGCCACCGCCCTCAATTTCTTCTTGTTGCCACCCCATTCCTCCGCATTGACGAACACTCGTTTCCGATAGTGAGTCGTCGAACCCACCGAAGCACATTTGCAGAGTAACAGCCCGTGGGTTAGTTGTTGTGATTTATTTTCCAAATTATTTTTCTGTTATTCTCATTTTATTAGTTAATTGCATGAGTATTCCATCTCTAAACTCTTATCATATATTCACTATTTAGATTATATTTGTGAGTTGAGAGTAATTGAGCATGTAACTGTTAAAATTTGATATTGATTGTAGAACTTGTGCATGATAATGAATATTGCAATTAAATTGAGTGAGATTGGATTAAATTGAGTGAGATTGGAATTATTCATAATTATTTAGGCAAATTTTGTTAAATCCATCTGTCACATTAGTTGTTTTGAATTTAATTTCTGTCAAAGATCATGAAATTTGGTGAAACGATGTGTTATTTGATTTAAATTGCTGATTCTGATAGACCTCCTGTTCCGTTTCATATCAGGAACCTTTCTAGTTTACTTTTTATAATTGCAAATGATTGCCTTTTGTGCATTATTACTGTATATTTTATTTATTTATTTATTTTGTTTCATTGGTTTATCATAGAGTGCTGTATAGCTGAATTAAATACGTAGGATTAAGAAGACAGCTTCAACCTCTTCTAGACTCGTTATCTGACTTTTCGTCTTTTACTTTGTGCCTTCATGGGCTTAAAGTGCATAAACAATTGGATAGATATTCCTACCTCTCAAGTTGGCAGCTAGGTTACTGTTGCAGATATAGCATCCAGGACCAGAAGTAGCTGTAGGACCACAATGAACATGGTTTAGCTTTAAGGTAGGCAGAATAAAAAGTAGAGTTTAAAAAGTAGGACGTTTCTGATAATACCCATGAAGGAGAAAAAGAATTTTACTGTGTGTTGCTGTTGCTGTTGCTGTTGTTGTTGTTCATAGTTATATAGTACTTGGTATACAAAGGGATATGGTATGGATTCAGGTTCGTTATTCATCACTTAAAAAAATGTGGATTAGATGGAGGGTAGCTTGCTTTGGTACGCAAGTTCTGTTAGTGGTACATTATAAATTTTTTTGGGTACTCTTAAAGTTTTTCGAAGTATATAGTAGAAAACTAGAAACTAAAAAACTAATCACGCATTTCAATAGTTTTTCCATACAAAATACTTAAAATACTTCTTATTTATGGAGTTTGTTTCTTTGTTCTGTTTTTCACATAGTCCATGTTGGGATCATGTCGTTTCACATTTCGTTAACATACTAGCGGAGTCCTTGGCTTATATATTCTATTATGCGCCTACCTTCACTTGATTGCACACATATCATGACGTCTTCCGCGTGAGCACTTAAAAGGATTTTGTGAATTGGAGGGGACCGGTTCACAAATGTACCGGAAATCGGTTCGTGAGAATTGTACGACCGTTGGTGGGTCCAGGGAGTCGTTCAACTATGTTGTTGTTATCACTTCGCTACTCTTTATGCATCCAGTCATATTAATAATTATTATATGATTTTAATTTGCAGCTTCCACACAGATATACGTATGACTTTATTGTTTTAAGAGACAATATTTGGCTTTAAAGGCTTAGTGCATTCGTCGATCACTAACATAGTATAATTTCCATTATGGCCATAACAGAGTCCACACACTGAAGCAATTGTGTTGCAAACTTGTACGGAAAAGTCGAATTGCAGTGAAAATCTAGAATTGAGTGAAATAAACTTGGAGAGCAGACCATCTTTGCTGAAGATGCCGAGTTTCTTATGCACATCTAGGTACAACTTACCTCATCATACAAGCCAGGGTGCAGGAGGGAAAAGTTGTGCAGATGAGATCTATTTAAAACTTTGTACCAGTAATATGGTTTTTTTTTTCCCCTAAAATTTTCAATTCTCCTAATTCCTGTGATTTACGTGATTCCATAAGCTGAATAGTTTCAAGATTTCTCTCGAGTAGTTATCGAAAATTTTTATGAATTTAACGGAAATTTACTTCTTTTTAAATACAACAGGTGATGTTTCTCCTCTTTTCTCTTGAATATCTACATTTAATAGTAGAAAAATTTTCTCCTCTTTTCTGTTAAATATTTATATTTAATAGTGGATAAAAACAAATTTTTCGAATTGGTACTCTAAAAAGGAATTTCGTTAAAACACTTATTAGAAGTTAGTGTTCTACTTTTGCTTAAACAAAACAATTTTCATAACCCAAATAAACCAAAAGTAACAAAAAATATTAGACCACGTGCAATGCACATGTATCCCACATAGTTGCTTGAAAAACGAAAGTTAATTGACCTGCCAAGAAAAGTATAAAACTGATAGAAAAGGTATCAATAGTGCAGCAACCCAAGAAATAGGATGTAATAAAAAAAAATGTTTCCTTAAGAAAACGATCCAACGATCTGTATGTGGTCTAAAAGTATACATTACAAAATTTGCGATATATTACCCTTACAAGAGGTAAATAGATCATCGAAACAACAGATGATGATATACAAATCTAAAACAAAATTTTCTTAATACTATGTGAACCGTTACCCTTTTCTATAGTTCTCTTCAAGCTTCATTCTTATAATGCCGAATAAGGAATCCCCATAAAATTTGCCTGCTGCGCCTAAGCCAACTCTCATCCAATCACAAAAAGAACACAAAAAGAAAATGAGCTAAAAGAAAATGTTGATCTCCTTTTCGCTCATCTCATACACATGATCTCGAGCCTCAGTAAGAGCAACCTGCATATATACAGTTCATATAAATGCAATCATAAGGCCTAGAAACGTTACAAACACCCCCATTTGAAATCAGAAGTTACCTGTCCATATTTGGTAAGGAAATTGCTTGCAAGATTCAAGGATGTGACTGCAACATCTTCATTTGCCTTGAGTGCTTGAGCCAGCGCAAAAGCGCCTTTGTCCTGTATTTAGATGTAAGATTACCCACCTATCTGATCTCAATATTAGGTGTGAACGTACAATAGAAATAATACAAACCCTTATCTCATTGAAACCTAGATCAAGAGATGTAAGAGCTTCGTTAACAATCCTTAAGCTCCGAGCTAAGCAGACAGCACCCTATGGGAATGGCAAGACAAATTCATTCCTAGGAAATCCAGTCAATTACCGCAAATGAATTTAGAAACAAAAGTTGCATACATCATCTCCGAGTCCATTTGCACGCAGGTCTAAAGTTGACAGGGTAGTATTATACTTCAAAGCATCCGCAATATACTCTGCACCTTTTGGTCCTATCTGTAAAGGAAAAAAAAAAAGAAAAAAAAGAAGAAAAAAAGAAGAAAAAAAAGGATATCACTGATCAACAATGAAACTGATCAACAATGAAACACACCAGAAATGAGAGAGATTAAAACTAGATAATACCTGACACCAACCAAGTTTTAACGTTTCTAATTTTCCATGGAACTTGATGATTTCACACAGAGCCCTTGCCCCATCAGGACCCATAGGATTGTAGCTCAACTCCAGCTGGAAAATAAAAAAGCTTCAGCCATTAGCATGAGGTTAAGCATCAACATATCCGAATGTAATTAGATTACTCACTGTTGTGATCACAGAATTATCTTTAAGAACTCGAGCTATCTCACTGGCCCCACTTGCATGGATATTGTTGCCACCCTGAAGAAATGAGAAGGTAGGAAGAAATGAGCAGGCACTATGATGAAGAAAAGGCCAGTCACTTGCCTATTCTCTTCTCATGGTAACAAAGGAAAAAAAGTAGAAATTAAAATAAAAAACAACTACAGGAAACATCATGTTAACAGAAGATGCCTGCCTATAAATATGAAACCTCTTAAAATCCTATATCTTCATCCCAAAATGGGGTAAACCTTTGATAGTAAACCTTGAAACTTTTACTGATAATCAGGTGATAATATTCACATCCCCAACCTCTTTAAGAGGAAAAGAAATGGTCAAACAAGATTTTGGAAAATCTTGAGAGATGAGAGGGGGAATATTAACTAAACCTAGTCATCCTCATCATCTTTTTTTTTAAGCAGGCCATATTTTGGTTTAATAACAGGATTCTTTTTCAAAAGGGACTTAATCAATTTCCAATAAAACTAAGGTGTTAGCTGAAAATAACTCTTCACAGGAAGTAGGCCAAAGTAAAATTTGGGAAATAATTTCACAAAGAATACAATATAGAGCTCGACTTGTAATACCACTTGTATGCAACGGTTTCTGCACCTTTAGTTCTTATGACTAGGGGATTTTTTTTCTTCTTTTTTTTTTCCCTTTCAGAAGCTAAAAATAAAATACGACTGTATTAAGTTGTGAAATGGCTAGCATACTCACCAAATCGATGGTAGTAATTGTCCGGTTCTCCTTCAAAGCATCTGCAATCCTTTGAGCTCCCTGTTAAGGTCATATGTGACATTGTGACATTGTGACATCATGTGACATCAATAACTAAGAATAATAGGTATGCTTGTATATATGTATGTATACAAGCAAGAATACATGTACGACGTGACACCTATTAAACTTAAAAGGTGGTGGCTTATAGTTATCATATAGAACATTCCAGAGATGTTTCACATTATCATTCTTCATAGTTTCGGTTCCCTGCTATATAAATGTGCAAGCTCTCATGCAAATTTGGGATCAGTGACTACCATCAAAAGGTCTCATGCAACTATTCAATCCACTTGATGGATGACGGTCTAAAGAACTAGATCTTTATGATATTGCTTCCCCAGGTTTGAGAGTAAAGAAATCATCATGAATAGTGAATAGATGGTCATGAATGGTGAATAGATGGTGTCAGGGTGTCCAAGAAAGCTACACTATATTGCTATATGCCATCCCTCGCATTGCCATCCCTCGCATGGCTGCATGGGTACACATCATAATCCCATATCCTAAGACATGTGTGCATGCCCCATTGCCCATACACCAACATGCAAGATTTTGTAAATTTAAGTCATATATGCACATGTACAATCACTTTAAATATCATATAAAATGCAATTGAACAAATATCTACCTCATCACCAATGTCATTACTGTAGAGATTCAGCCATAGTAAGGATTTACTTTTCTTGATGTACTCAGCAACATGGAAAGCCCCTTTTGAACCAATGTCATTGTTGCCAAGATCTAAAAGTGTTATTCTCCCTGTAGAACTGAGCAGGTAAGACAACAGTAAACAGAGGTTGGAAATATGCAAGAAATTGTGTACAATCAATCAGATGAAGGCAGACCTTTGTGAGCAGAGAGCCCTGACATCAATGCTCGTACACCCTCATTTCCGATGTCATTCCCATGCAAATGAAGTTCCTGCAAACTTTTACAGATTAGCAGAACAGAAAGAAATGTTGCAAGGGGTGAATTATGAATATAATGCTCCTCCCAATACTTAACACATGAAAAAAGTAAGAAAGCTCACAAGATGTACTATAGATTAGAGATTTCAAAGTTTAAAAAATGTGATTTATGTCGTCGCTTATGCTTTTACAGCAGAAAACAGCAGCCATAAACTGGAAGTAGGCGAATGTAAGGAAAAAGATTAGCAGCAGCCACATAAAAAAATAATAAGGTCACATAAGCATGCACCCACCTATGCTTGCCCACAATAAAATACAAAGGATATCAAATGTGAACTCTGATTTGATACCAGCTTCCTCTCTTTCCTCAATCAACTTTTCTCTTTTCCTTACCCCTTCTCTCTAGTCTTGACGTGCTTAGTTTAGCTTAAAGTGTCCTCATTTGTGGTCTTTTCATTCTCTGTCATGTATTTATTTATGATGTGGGACTTCTGTTCTCTTGTGACTATGGACATTGGTCATCGCACATCCGTGTTAAGGACACCTAGACTTACCAAAGAGGCATAAACCGATGAAAAGAAAAGGAAAAAAAAGAAGAAGGAACATCCATGTTGCTAAAGTCAAAACAACTAGGTTCAAAAACCTTCATATTGTCATGGAAACACGGCATGAACTAGCACATAGAATTACCCAATGGTCAACTGAAGGTTCACAATAACAAGAAATAGAATTGATATATTCTTCTTCATTTCCAATTCATATAACCAAAAATAAATTTCTGTATGTCAATGTTGTTCCAGAGCAACCAAACAAGCGGCACACTAATTATGTCTCTTTTCAGACGTCTCCCTATTCATTAATCTATACTGTTTTTTATTACTAGAAAATTTATTCCAAAACGTAATCTTTTGACCACAGGCTAAATTAATTAATTATTTTTTATCTAATATTGAGATTGTGAGCATTCAAGTTACCCATATGGAAGATCCTTTGTTATAGGTTAAACGCTTGGAGAGGTAAACTATCAACAGAAACTTTAAGCATTTTATAGTCTCTATCATGAATATGACATGCAAACTAAAAATGACGCTGTAGAAATTTTATCAGAAGGAAATTATACCCTCAAGGATTTGTTTGCTTCAATTCCTTTAGCTAGACTTGCTGCACCAAGAGCGCCACCATAGTTGCCACTAGTCAAAATTTAAATGCAGCATCAGTAATTCAACTGACAAAAAATTCAAGTTTTATAGAACTGTAGATGCATCAATAGGCTCGCAGAGATACAAAGTGAGATAAACAATGATCAGCGTCTCAAAAAAACAAGCAGGAAAAAGAAAAGGCAAAGTTAAAGAAAAATACTTTAAATGAATTGAGCGGATTGCATTATTCTCAAGAAGTGCTCCTGCAAGACTTCCAAAACCCTAATCCAATTTTTGAAATACAGAAATAGAGAGCATATAAGAAAGAATATGGAAGCAGTGGTTGTCTCAGCCACATTACGTATTATCAAATGGATGTCTAGAAATACATACAGCATAGTCAATCATGTTGTTGTTAAGTTCTAGAACCCGCAACGTTGAATTCTTTTTAAGCATTTCAGCAATAGCCCTTGCACCCTGAATTAAGAATTATTAGGTATATATATATCCCAATGGTGATAAGAACTAGATTGAACTAACTAAAAATTAGCTATAAAGTACAACCTCATCCCCAAGACCAGTACTATTCAGCTGGAGTTTCTGAATGCCTGTATTCCCCATCAGAATATCTGAAAGACACTGTTAAAACTGAACTGCGTAAGTAATAGTCATACAAACTTTAATCTATATGTAAAATGGAACATAACATGAAGTGTTTGCATCCAATTTTTACAGACAGATAAGTGCTCGAAGCAGTTCTCAGAACAAAGACAATGCACAATTTAAAAGAAGATTATCAGATTTAACAACTTTAATAAAAGGTCTGAAACCTGTAAAAGCATTATCTAGCTTCTCTATTGATGAAGGAATAAACTCAGGCTACAATTGCAGGGATCAGACTCAAGCACAAAAAATAATATAACTTCCAGAAAAATAAAGGATAAAACTGCATTTTCTGTAAGCATCAAATTACCAACTTTAGAAAAAGGTCCACTCCCTGTTTCTATTGCTCATATAATCATGTCAGCTAACTTTACTTATCTTGCTCCTTCTATGCCCTTTACTCCTCCTCATCTGTTACTTTTTTCTCTTAAATGGATCTTGTTCTAAGTTGCATCAAGTTATATCCCATTCAGGTAGTTTTCTAACTCAACACCCCCAACCCCACCACCACTCCCCACCCCCCCCCCCACCCCCCAAAAAAAAGCTTCACAATCTTAAAACGTAATCAACACATGTAAAGGTCAGAATGTTTTTTACAAGAAAATAATCTTTGTGCCACAAGTACCTCTCAATTGAACCTTTACTTGTGGCATCACGTCACCTAGGGATGTCAAAGCTAGCTAAAACCAGACACATTTTCAGCTTGTAGCAAGAACTAGTGAACTACATAACTGGATAGTTAGGAGGTTCTTGGTGAATTATTTTTTAATGCCCGTGATACTAGTCAAATCATGAATCTTCCATGATAGAAACAAGTCGGCAAGATTACTCTTAATTTTTATTATGATAGCAACGAAAGATACAACATATTGAAATGGTTAGTAAGTAACCTTAGCTCCTTCATCTCCGATGGCATTTCCAGAGATATTGAGAGTTTTTAGTACAGTATTTGTTTGAAGAATACCATCAAATGCCTTCAAACCAGCAGCGGTTATACCATTGCCAGAAAAATTCACTTCCTCTGCACTCTGCAAAATATAGCAAAAGGCACATTTACCTTTAGTTTTGAAAGAATCATAAAAAAAGCAGTGTGCTCATGGAAGCTTCAACCATTCATGAAGGTAGAACATATTTAATGCGACCCATAACTACACATAACTTTGAGACTAAACAAGTAGAACAGAAGCTCTAACCTGATTGTAACCTAAGCTTTCAGCAAGAAAGAACAATCCCTCATCCCCGAAATTGCGACCTATATCAAGATCATGAACCTCAACCATGCTTTTGTAGAATAATTTAATAAATGAAAACTGAATACCAAAGGGAACCCACATAGAATACAGGATAATGGTTCACATGTTTAAGTATCGATACATAAAGTACTTAGCATAAATTCAATAAAGATATGATGAGCAACATGATACAAATAACATAACTTTTCTTAACAGAAAATATGTCTTAAGTGTAAGAATTAAAATTATTTAAGAATTTATCTCTGTTTGTGCAATCTAACACTCATTTTTAACAACTAACCTGACATATCAACGCTTCTGAAAGATCTAAGCTCTTTGGCAAAGTCATTGAGCTTTTGTCGGGAATCCCTTTCAATCTTGAAATTAAAAGCCGATGGCAGATTAGTACCAGGAGCAAATGACCATTTCAAAGATGACTTGTTCTCCACGGAAACTGATCCCTTTGGTTTTGGCACGAGTACTTTCTCAACCACCTTCCACAACACTGTCAGCTGAAGAAACAAATTAGTCCCTCTCTAACTAATTATTTCGTAATTAAACAAATTGCCCTGTAATTAATCTGTTACAGTATCAGCAGTCTAACCAAACATAAGACTAAACATAAGTCTTGAAAGAAACAATAACTCTATGTGATGAAGATGAATGTAAGTGCATTAAAAAAAATAGAAAAGCATCGGGAAACGATTCCTATTTGCGAGTCAAATCAGACATAATACTCATATTTAGGCCCACTAGTCCAACAATGAGGAATCTATTACAGATTCGGGTTCCCTTCCTCTAAGAGTTAGATTTTATGAATGAGTTCACCTGGATCTCAATATTGTTCTACTAAAACATCTGCTACGGGTGGTGGAAATGCGACATGTGTCACTCATTACTAAACTATCACCCTAGAAAACAACTATTATCCATGTCTTTACAGCTTGCATGCTATGGCCCATACCTATCTCATTTATCATCAGCACAATTTATCTTGGAGATAGTTAAATATACTGCAATGAGAAACTGATCTTGGCGGGTGTTCATTTCAAACATTATTTTGTCAAACCGTAAAATCATCACAATAAACACACAACGCATTGCAATACTAAGTCTCGTGCACTGCACTGGTAACAACTAGCATGTACATATACCAACTAAAACTAGAGCTACAATTCTAATGTATCTACAAACAAGTGCACAAACAAATCGATCGCAAGGAATGCGAGCACAAACCAAACGTGATTGCAATAAAAGCTCCAGCGGGCACAATGACGCGATGCGATCTCTTTCACAGGCACAGCAGGAATCGATCTCTTGCGCTTGGCGCTCTGGGCGATAACTTTCCTCCCCCAACTCCTCCCCTCTCCCCTCCCCCTCCCCCTCAATGCGCGCCCGAGGATGAGGCAGCCGCCCTTGGGGCCCACAGGGAGAGCCGCCGCCTCGTTTTCTCTGCAGGCCAGTTCTTGCATAGAGAGAGGAAAGGAGAAGACTTTGAGTTGGGGATGAAGGCGATGGGTGAAGGAAGTGGAAGTGAGAGTGGAGGAGGACAAATCCATTGCTAGGGTCTTTTGGGTTAGATTCAAGATCTTATCTTTGTGAAATTTCAGTGAACGGGGTTGAGGGTTTTGGGAAATTTGGAAGAAGAAAGAGAGGGCGAGAAAAATGAAGAGAGGAGTCGGAGGCAGACTGGATTTTCTCTGAGAGGTCCAATTTGTGTTCTTTGTCCTGATCCAGTGAAAAAGCCCAATAGGCCCTGGTCATACTGCTTACATAAACAATTGAATGGGGCCCCTGTAAAGTATACTAGCCTGGCTCTGAGCCTTTTATTTAGACCTACCAAATTCTTTGGGAAATGCAACACTAATTTTTCAATATTTAATGGAATAATATAATATCATATCTTATATTAAAATTCTAAATATTGATAGCTACAAATATTTTTTAAGTAATCTATAAGTTCTCTTTATATTATTATAAAAAAAGAAGAAGTGTGGAATCCATTTTTTTTGGCGAATTGCTATGCTATGAGCTTGTGAGGATTCTATACTTATGTTTCTTACTTTCTTACATTATAAACTTTTGCTTCTTACTGTCGTATATTATGAATTTATTTTTATGGAGTTTGTCCACTTTTGCAGTGGGGTATTTTATTTTTTTAAAAAGTCTTCAAACCAAACAAAAAGGAGAATTTCACTTTTGGGGTGTCTTATCCCAAGTTGGAGCTCACCAAATAGGATGCCCAAAAATATTTGTGATTGAGAAAGTATATGCGTTCGTATTAGGATACATATATAATTATTAAAATCTATAATTGATAGAATTTGGTTATGAATATGATCAGGCAGTGAAATGTCCAGATCAGCATTCGAAGTATCCGAGTATATATTGATCATGTTGTTAAAATTTATTTTAATTCTTAGATCAATGGATTTAAGATTAATTTTAATCATCAAGATATCTGACCCTAGCTTTGTAGATATAATGAGCATTTTAATGAATTCTCTTATATCATATGAATTAATTTTTTTCAACATTACTCGGTTTTCTTATATTCATTTTGTATTCTTATATACATATATGTTTATATATCTATACGAATATTCGTATTCATATCCGATTTTAGTAGATATAAATATAAATTTTATTTATTGCTACGCATCCTCATTTTGGTAACGAAAAAGATTTTTGGCTCGCGGGTGAACCGCGAGCCACCCAACTCGCAGAGTTGGGTACAGGGGCAATGCCCGAACCGTGTGCGAACTTATGCCCTCAACTAAACCGGCCTTTCTGTTTAAACCCTAAATAATTTAATTTAATCTCTCAAACCCCTTTTTTCGTCCCTCCCCCGATTCCCGCCGCCGCCCTTCATGGCTGAAACTCCGGCCGCCGAGATCTCCATCGCTTTATCCGACGCTTCCATCGCCGTCAACGACGCTCCTTCGCCGTCCAATGGGTAGGCAAAACCCTAACCTTAAACCATAGCTCTAAATTGTGATTTTGAACCCAAGGCTTGGTTTTTGTTTTTAAAATAGGATGAGTCTCGAGGAGAAGTTTCAGTTGGTGAGGGGCGTAGGAGAGGAGTGCATTCAAGAGGAGGAGCTGAGGAATTTGTTAGAAAAGAAGCCCAATCCCATTTGTTATGATGGGTTCGAGCCCTCGGGCAGGATGCACATCGCTCAGGTCCCTTACATTTTATGCCTGTTTGCTGTTGCAAAAAAGCCTTTTTTTTTCTTAGTGTTGATGTCAGTCTGTTAAATATTTAAAATTTTGAAATCAATCCTTGAAATTTCTATTAGCTCGCCCTGTTCTTATTAGTTCGTTTCAAACTAATCGCTCCAATGAAGAGTAGCAGTAGAAAAGTATTCAGTTTTATTGAAGGCGTGTGCCTCCCTGCGACTTACGATGTGAGGCGTGATGGAATCATGACATACAACGTAGCGGAAAAAGCATATCATGACTAATAATCAAAATTAATTAAATATTAGAAGAATACCTGAAACGCTTTCCAAATTTCTACAATAATCTGTTCCGAGATCTATCCGAAATAACTGAGAGATAGGCTCTCAAAAATCTATTTCTTCATATTATCTTTATAAGATTTTCAATCTTTTTTCATAAGGCTACATATGAACCCTCTTTATAGGATTACACTAGTCTTAGAGATTTTAACTTTAAACAATTCATAAATATCTAGAACTCTATCCATAACAATTAAGGATAGAATAAATTTGTTCAAAAACTTTATCCATAACAATTAAGGATAGAAATAGATTTATTCAAAAACTTTATCCATAACAATTAAGGATAGAAATAGAATTGCATTGCATGTATACCTCTTCTAATGACATTAGTGAGACCAATTGGGTCCCATATCGAGAACCAATTATTAATCAAATTAATAATTTTAATTTAACAATCAAATCCCTATCCGACCAACTGTTCATAAAAGCTCTTCCATAATATGAGATTAAATAATATCTTACATTCACTCCCTTCTAGTATCATATATTTTAGGCAACTCTTTTAAGCATGACAACTCACCTATTTGCTCATGCCTAAATTTGCAATTCCCATGAACATAAATAAAAAACATTTTGAAACATCAAAATATTTTATTTTTATAAGAAAGAATTTTTTTTAAAACATTTTCAAAACCACCTGCCGGCAGGAATTTAATAGCTTCATGAGAATGCATAATAAATTAACTTATCATAATGAGCATACTGGATCCTATCTAGACATCCATCATTTTCCTAAATGAAATTTAGCAACCCAATGTTTCAGGTTGTGTAGCGCTTGCTAAACAAGCTTAACCATCACATCAAAGCATACTAAATTATCAAATCGAAAATGATAATATCATCAAGTCAAAGGGACCATGTAATAATTTGAATTCTCTATCTCTTAGGTGACTCATCGTAGAGAATTCAAATACGGTCTAGTGCTACACACATCATAATGCGTGCTTATGACATACACCCGGAGAATCTTCATTCCCGATGGTTAAGACCCACCACCATATCTCATATATCGGTGTCATGCATAATAACTTGTTATAACAAAGTTATCATTTACTAGTTATAGGTTAAGCACAAATTTAAGAAATTTTTAAGTTAGATCATATCTCCAAGCAAGTGACCATCACAGTGCATGATCTAACAAAATAACTTCTAAGGATATATATAACAATTATATAAATAATATCCAAATTATGTGCAACAATTAAATTTATTAACATTACAATATTATTACATAATTTGTATTGGATGTTCAAGGGCAAATTATTATTACTATTCCAGCAATCTCCCACTTGCCCTAACATCCAATCAGATGTAATCCTTACTCCCATCTGTCAAAAACATTTTAAGACAATGGTCTATAAAAAGACATTAAATGTTATCTGCTCAGCCATCTATTAAATCATAACATATTTCTTCTTATTAACCTTTAATAAGATAATTTTTCTTTCTGAGCTTCTTGCAACAGCTCCATTACTATCAAATAATAATGAGAAAGAAAATTATTACAAGAAATAATATTAAGCTTATGGAGTAACTCATTAATCCATATTCCTTCTTTTAATGATTTAACATGGCACTACATATTCTGCTATTATTATTAATGATATAAATATAACCCGAAACAGACTTTCTATTATTAGGATTGGATTGAAAACTACTTACAAGATCAATAGCAATCTTTTTAGGACATATTTCCTTAAAGAGTGATTATTTATGTCTTATAGAAACCATTCCTTTCTTGGAATCTTGTTAAGTTGAATCTTCTATGGATCTTATCCATATAAGTAGATTGTGACAATTCTATATATCTATTTCTCTATATATAGAGAGTTTAAGATCTACGATATAGAATGTCAAAAGAAAATCCTTCATAAAGAACTAAATCTTACTTTTACTCGTGACATTAAAATATCATTCTTAATGAGTAATATGTCATCAACATGCAATAATAGGAATATAATGGACTTACTTTGTTGTTCCTTATACACATTATTTCTTTTTAAGGATATGATCAATCATTTCATCAAAATGAATGTTTGATTGATTAAGTTCATAACTTTAATTGATTCAATTAATCAATTTTATCTTCTTGAATTTTACATACTTGATTCTATGATATGTAAATATCTTCTTAAAGATATCCATTCAAGAAGGTTATTTTAAAATCCATTTATTAATATCTTATATTCATAACACGTTGAAATGACTAAATGGATCCTTATGGACTATAATATTACAATTAGATGAAAAAATTCTTCAACAATTAATACCCGTTTGTCATCAAATGTGACATCAGGTCTCTTACATGATATCATGTCCAACATGATTTTTGTGTAAGTTTTAGGATTTTTATTCTCCTTGTTACTTTTCATCAAATATATTTTAACAAGGTTACTGTACTATACAGGTGGATGAAAATCCTATATGATCTCCTAATTGTAAGCAGTGTATTCAACAATAAATTTAGCAAGGTTGCTGATAGCAGATCGCGGCGCGTCACGGCGATGTACCGCTAAGGCTATATCGGGCTATTGCGGCGAAATCGCGGCAAATAGCGCACGGTCAAATAGCGGTCAAATTTAAATATATTTAAATATCCTAAATAATAAGAAAAATCATAAAAAAATCTAAAAATTCAATTAGTTGTAAATTTCTTGTATTATCAATAAATAACAATTAATAAGCTTGTTGTATGAATGAAACTATGAAGAAATTCAAGAAATATAGCATCATAATATATGTGATAGCGGGTTTAGCCGCTTTTAACAACAAAAATCCGCTTTTAACCGCGAAAATCCGCTTTTAACCGTGA